GGCTGGAAAACCCAAATGTTGGGATAGGTGTTTGATGGGGCTCTCTATAACCACATCTGCATCTTCTTCGCTCTCAGAGCTATTACCTAAACCATAAGCTTTCATTATCATAGGCAACCCTGGATAGCTTACAGAGTGCATACTATCAAAATAGTGTCCTGAGCTTGACGAAATGCAGCTTTTTCGCCTTATGTTGTTATGCTGGTTTGCAGGTTTCACTGTGATGATGAGATTATGGCTGTTGGCGATCATCATGTCAGTTACCTGATCCAAGGACTTCCCCATAACATCAATACCATTCACTTCCAGGACCTGGTCATTAATGGCCAGCAGTCCCGTGCAAGCCGCCAGTCCACCAGGTACTATGCGTGAGATAAAGATGCCCGGAACCTTTTCCAGACCGTAGGGAGTAACCCTGACAGTGGTACCATCACGGATGTAAAACCCCAGAGGTCTGTCCGAGCCTTGGCGATACAGACGCACTCTTCTGTGGCATTCTGGTATGATGTCCACGTCAATGATGGAAGAAACAGGGCGGAAGTTCTGTGGCATGCTGATCTGAAATGGTGTTTTTCTCTGGCTGACAGGTTTCTTTCGCTTTGTTGTATCATCAGCACCCGCGAGATCTTGGTCAGCTTCCTCTGTAAAACAGTGTGGGAAGTAAGTTGAACAAAGCATTTTCTGCTGTTCTGAAATTATGATTATATTTTTAACTTGTATTTAAGTGTCATCGCACTTTGCAATGATGTTGTCTATAGAAGAGACTTTCAACTTGAATTAAAAAATTAAACTGCTTAAAATTTTTGCTTAAATTTGATTGATTTATTTATTTCCATGTAAAACACTGTTTATGGGGGGCCAAGTATGTCCAATTAAAAAAATAAATAAAAAATAAATTCAATTATTTAAATACACAAATAAATAAATGACCTGATGAAGCAAACAAATTCTTCACTAAATTTAGCACATAATTTATATATTCCTAACTCTCATTATTTCTGTATTTTTAAATATATTTATTAATTCTGATTATATTTATTCTTACAATCATTTATTTTCAGAATTATTTCCATATTACTATGGAACTTCTAAAAACTCTGCAGAGATCACATGAACTAGGACGGAAAGCAACTAGATAATCTACTGTGTCTGGCAAACAAACACACCACAAGGGAATACAAAGCAATTATACTCAAGTACATGATTCCTAGCTAGATAAATTCCTTCCTTTTCTTCCGTTTTTCTATTCCTTCTGCTTCAAGGAGCTCAAAAAGAAAACAAAAAAATGCCTTGATTAAAGGCCTTAAGATCTAAAAATTATATTTCCGTGTAATCAAATATTCACAATTTATCTCGAATCAGAGAGAAGTCTTGGTATATTAATATAAGACTTTATATCCATGTTATTTGTTTGGAAAATAGTGCTCTTTGATACATACACACATAACATTATGATATTTAAGTTGAGAGGAAAGAGAAAAGCAGAGGAAAGCAGACTTGTGGAGCAGAGAGTATTTAAAAGGAAATTAGAGATATTTAGAGATAGCTTCTCTACCCTTCCCATATACCTTGAAGCTGAATGAAGATACGCAGTAAAGACTGTGTGGAGGTCACAGCTTTGCAAAAGTTGTCATCGTTATTGATGGGCAGTAGCTCTCCCTGGATATCCGCATAGCCAATAACGACATCCATTTGCCATAAGTGATGTAAATGCACAATGAGCCTGTGGAAGTCTTTATACCTGCCAGGCTCACAACGATCCAGGGAAAACCTCCTGAATTCTGCACCATACTGGAGAAAGACAAGTGAAACTGTATGAAAATAATATAGGCTATTTGAACACACTGAATATCTTAATCACACTTTTAAGTTCTACTGGACAAATCGGTCAATATGGTTCATTTTTGATACTATAAGGTTTATAAATTGCAGAAGCAGTGAGTGACCTGGGACTGCATTCAATCAGCTGAAACAATGGACTTATTTTCGAAGTGAGCCGTTTCTGAATATTGTGAAGGTTTTGATTATTTAAGTTATTGTTTACAAAGTTATTTCCCTTCAGTCTAATAATACTAGACTAAAGATAAGAGCGCCAAGATAACCACCGAGACTCATGTAAGATACATTACAAGAATTCTGTGAATGAATTTCAAATCTGGATGAAGAATGAGTAATTCAAAAAAGATTTAGCAAAGTCTCAAAAAAGAAATGCATACCGCCAAAAACAAAGATGATGTATTGCAATATAAGAACTGACAGATAGCCTACATGGTACAGATCAGTAATGAGAATAAAAGTACATGTCAGCTTACTTTACTTTTCACCTCGAGGAACGAACAGCAGCGCAGAGACTGAGACTTTCTAAGTGGCCGGTTCATGTTGTCCGATGAGCGCTCAACTGGCCACTAATCGCAAACCACTCGGGTTTTGTGGCTCTGCATGACACAATATAGCGTTACGTGTTCGCATCACTAAAAACGCGGAAAAGCAGGACGAATGGCTTGACACTTTCCTGACACTAGTCGATTATTTGTCTCTTATAAATCTCCTGTATTTGGTATCGGCAAATCGCTTGGATTAACATGCATTAAGCTATTTGTGAGTCAGTTGACTAAATTTGTGAAGAATACACAGATAAACAAACTTTATATATATATATATA